TTTAAAAGGATGCAGATATAGTTCCCAGAGTAAACATCCATGCCAATTTTCTCTGGAAAAATCCCAATAAACATCTAAGAGATGTTTACTTTCCAATTTCATAGTAGGCATCTTTTTTTTTTTTAATCCAAAACTGTCAAGTTCCTTAACATGAAGTCGTGGTAAAATAAATCTAATAAACTATGCCTCGCTGCAAATCCATGTGCCCAGATTGAAATGAATGTCTGCTGCAATCTAAATTTCTTGATTTTCCATAAGTAGATGTGCATATAATCTATGGGGGGAGGGGAAGAATCTTATGAAATAAAAGGTTTTTTCACTTGTATGTAAAGAGTACAAGTCATTATATCATTTCTATATCCCAACACTCTCAGTATTCTTTACTAAAATATAGTAGGTGCACAGTATCTGTAGGATAAACAAAGTATTAAATTAATTCAATCTCTAAGAGATTTCAATGGTGCCCTAGTCAACTAGTGACATTTTACGGATGATGAAATTGAGGCCACAAAATTTCAACATGCAATGACTATATATCTAATTATTGTATAGAGCTAGCATTATAACCCAGGCTTCTTAATTTCCAGTGGCAAACTCTTTCTTCACCTAAAAAGCAAACAAAAAAGTAGCATTTATAGAGAGCTTACTATGAACAAGCCACTTTGTATACATGATATCAAATCTTCAGAAGGCAACCATAAAAGATACATTATCCTCATATTTTAGATGGGAAGACTGAAACTCAAAGAAGTCAAGTCACTTGCCTAAGGCAATATGCTAGTAAACAGGACAGGACAGCTAAGATTCAAACTGGAATCTCTTTGCTGCCAAACCCACTGCCTTCCACGCCACAATATATTAGCATTCATTAACAGCATTACGAACCGATCAGATAAGGAATTATGTGGGTTTGCTACAGAAATAGGAAATATTTGATCATTTAACTTAAAAATAGTAAAGGAAAAAAAAATCCCAACTATGTCAAAATGAGTAGCCAAATCAAGTGTTCAGAGCCAGAGCAAACCCCTCTAAAATCAGATGTCAAAATCAGAGAAGAAATCTATTCTGAGGAACAGCAGGACTGAGAGCTGAATGATCGCAGGTTACCTCTCTTGCTCACTGAATCACCAGGTGCAGATTCCATGTCTCACTGAAGATGAAGAGGTGGGTGGATAAGAGAACAACCAAATCATTACTTAAGGCAAAGAGTACAATGTGAAAGGCACATGTTAAAGCCCTTGTCTTTTCTACAGGGAGATGGCACTTTCAGCTAAGAGTATGTCCTCCTCCACCATCAGAGATCAACTCAAGATGAGATTTTGCAAAACAAGAACAAATTCTAAAAGATCTGAGTTTTTCCACTCTACCTTAAAGTTCATGGGACAAGCCATTCTGTGGGGTTTTGGAGTCGGATTACTCTGGGTGCTAGTCTCTACATTGATACTGATCCCCTGTGTCTGTTTGGCAAATAATTTAGACTTCTGAATCCTTAGTTTCCTCCTCTAGGTAATGGCAATAATAATACCTAGATATGACATTTTTGTGAAGATTGAAGTGAGATGATGAGATGATGAAAGTAAGGTATCTATCCAAACACCTGACTCAATTAGTTGAGACTCAATTTATTTCCTAAGGTTAGACAGTAAATGCCAAGCCTCAGAACAACTAAAGGCAAAGAGGTACATGAAAATTAACCAGACCATCATGTTATATGATAAACGCAGCATTAAAGATCATCATAGCAAAATATAAATCAAGTAAAATGTTCTCTTAAATCTTATAATACTGTTGCCAGTAAGAAAAGGGGTATGGTGGTGAATTAAAATCTTCAAATTAACTTCAGCATTAAAAGGATGAAAAATAGATATTAACGTTTGTTACTTACTACCTACCAAGGATTTTGTAAGGATTTAATGAGTGCAGCACTTTGAAATTCCTTGGAAATGAGGAATAAACATACACCATTATGCATACATATAAAGGCAAATATATATTTTAACACTCTAAGGATTACTATATAAATTTAGATCAGGGCACAGCATGCCTGGGATGAGTAGGGTGGGAACAATATGTTCTTGCTTACGACACCAGGCTCATGACAAATGATTCATACCCAGCACCTTTCATGCCAGAAGATCCCCCCAGGTGTTCCACCGACTCTAGCAACAGTTTCCATCAATCGAGACTGCAGTATAGAGGAATCACATCACACCCACAGATGAGGCAAAACAGTCATGTCTTTATACAACTGCACAAAATCCAACAGCTGAGGGGGCAGAGAAGAGAAAGGAAGGAGGTGAGTGAACCATCCAGAATTCCTCACCAGAATGACAGACAACATACATATAATTACATACATTGGCACTTTCAATGCAGGTGTTGTCATAATCAGAGGCTCTTATTAGCAAAGGCTTTTAGCTAAAGGTGAGACAGGCTCAGAGGATGTGTGTTGCCTGTGGCTCTGAGTGGGTTGGAGAGTAGGTTTACAGGAGAACATCTAAATGTGAAAAGATGGGAGCCCCCAATTTTGTCCTTAGGTTTAGGTGAGTAGGTTTCCCTCTCTGACGGAAAGAGAAGTGCTAGGAGAGATCCACAAAGGTGCACAGGACTTGACAGTCACACTGCCCTCTCATGTAGATCCTGGCTCATAATTCTCTGTAATTAATCTGGCAGACATTGCCCCCACTTTTGAGATGATGAAATCCATATTCAAAGGGGTAACTGATTTGCCACAGTAAAACCACAAATAAGCAGAACTAGAATTCAGGTCTCCACTCTACTTCTCGCTTCACAAAACTGCCAAGAAAAGTTTTTTCTGTTCTCCTTCCCTTTAAAAACTATTTTAAACTTTGCCTGAGTCTGATCCAGATAAGTAAGACTGGCTTTGTTTTGCAGAACCTGGATAAAGACCATTCCTCTTTCTTCACTATCTGTATGCGTAAACTTAAAGAAAGAAAGAAACTTTGTGTGTGATGAGTAGGGCAGGTACAGGGTCACGGTTCGTGTTTATAGAATAGGAGACTTCAAAGGGTATAAATCTCATCTCATTAGTTAACATCATTTGTGTGGTCAAACCTTTAACACTCATCACCTGATTTCCTACATTATCTCAGACTTGCGTGCAAGTCCTAAGCCCTCACCCTAGGAAGCCCTACTGGACTTATAATCATTTTTCTCTGTTTCTTAAACAGAGGTTAAAATTGCCAAAGATGTATTCTCCTTTTCTCTCTCGTTCCAAGATATTTCAAGAGATGAACTCAAAAGAGGTCTCATGGGTGAGTGATATTTTACAGTTTGAATTACAATAAAAGCCAGAAATATTTTGAGTCTAAAGTCTTTTACTTCTTAATACGACAAGATCTAACATGTTTGATGTGTTTAAGTCTCTCCCTAATGCCAGAAGCTTTGAGTTAATCACTTAGAGCAGTGGGAAAGTTATTCCATCAGTTTAAGAAGATTCAAGTTCAAATTAGAGGATTAATTTTAGTGGTCAAGACATGAAAGATATAAAAGGTAAGGTAAAGAATGAGGGCAAGGGTCTTTAGAATTAGAATAAAAAGAATTTCAGCTTCAATTATTTGATTAAACCACTTCTGAGAACCATATAAAACTACAGCCTCAGTCACAGAGACAGAATTGTAGAGAAAACCCCACTGGCATTCTCGGGACAGAGACATCAATACAAAATATTATCTAACGTGATTTGCCTTAATACAGTTTATATCTATTTACCCAAAGAATTCATAATGACAGACCATTATTTTAAAATGTTCATAAGTCTCATGAACACAATTCACTAAAGTGGTACTTCTCTGGAAAGGTTTCTGGCAATTACATCACAACAGAAAACGTTTTGAAAGGTACCAGACTGCATAGATTGTACATATTACAAACACTACAATTTCAATTACCAGGTTGAAGCTGTAATTTGTCCCCCCCTATTTTACCTATCCTTAGTTTTTATGTTCTTGTCTGCTGCCTGTAGAAGTTTCCACACTTTTAAATAGTCAGTTGTTATCATCAAAGCCGGTTCTTTACTATTTCAGCTCATTGAAGTTTCTAGGTTCAATTTAAACTGGAATCCTTCCTTCAGATTCCAGACTTGCTGATTTTTCTGAAAATCTAACTACCCCCCCCATAGGACCAAAGCTCATGTACTTGCATTCTAACTCCCCTGGAACCCAACCTCTTTGGAATCCAGCAATCCCTTTCCTGCTTTCATTAAAGGGAACGTTAAGTCTTTATTTGTGCTCTTCACTAGAGGAGGTCAGGCAATGGGGGAGAACAGGGAGTTGTTGTCACTGGGATATGTCTGATCTTCCTGAGACTGATCACACTGGAGAACAACCGCTCATTCACGGGCTGGAAAGCCCCAGTTGCCAAAACACACTTACTAGTGCTGTCAGAAGATGCTGGAGAGTTCCTGCCCTGAAACTTGTATCCACTTGGTCCCCTAAATCAGAGAATGCACTAAAGAACACCTTATTCACCACTGCAGTTCTCCTTTGTGGAGAAGCAGGGATTAGGAGCTCTGCATAAAATAAAATAAAATACAAAATAAAACCCCTACATATATGTCTTCTTGACCTTATTTGAGCCAGTCCCTGAGTCTAGCAAGTAAAGAAAAACTCACTTGAGGGAATGCCAGGCTGCCTGGAAATTTAACCCTTTATTAGGAGCACTTCAACTCCTCTGTTTGCTTAGTCTTCAGTTCCACACACCAACGCGACCAAAGCAACAACAACAACAAAAGAGATCTGCCTGCTCTGTTTGAAGCTCTGGCATTTGGAGAGGACTCTGGTGGTGTTGGTGGGGAAGAGGTGGAGGTTGGTCTCCCAGTAAGCAGCATTAACTCCTGAGGGAAGTGAGCAAGGAAGACCAGTTTTGTAGCATCTCCCAAGTCCAGAACCCTCATTTCCCCAAATTCTCCACCAGGTCATACAGCCGATTTTAACCGTTTCCATCTTTCATCCATTTGCCCTCAGTCCCGTTCTACTCACGCTGCTGTTGTGGCCAGACCAATGGACCATGGCTTGGTTGTGTGCTGAGTCTCCCGTGAGCGCAAACGTGGTGCTGGTCAGTTTCAGCTCCTCCATCCGGAAGCGAGTGGCTTTGTCCGGGTCCCGCTCGCGAGTCCCAGGCTCCTTGTGCCCCGCATCCCTTAGCATTCCCCGCGGGCTCCTACTCGTGCCCTCTCCCGGTTCTGCCTTGTCCGGATCCGCTCCGCTGCGTCTCCTCCGGCCGGAGCGGGCAGCGGCCGCCACCACGGAAGCCCCAGTGCCCCGGGCCCGCTCTAGGGACAGTGCTCGGTCCCCGGGGGCCACTGCGAATAGGGGGCGCACTATGAGGGGTAGGGGAGTGTCAGGAGCCTTGCCTGGCTGCCTCTGGTGAAGAAAGTCCCCTGGAGTCGGTGCCGAGCGCGGGGTCGAGCTGGGGTGCGCGGGGGGGTAGCAGGATCTGCCACCGCAGACGCCTGGAGCGCAGAGGATCAAGAGCCCCGCGCCGGCGAGGAGCACGCTCAGCCGGGCTGGGGAGCCGCCACTGGCGCCAACTTTTCCCATCGCGAGAGGAGCGGAGAGGGGGTCTCGGGCCGAAGAGGCGGCGCGCGGCTCTGCGCTGGCGGGCTGCGGGGTGCAGGCGCTCAGGACCCCAACTCCATCCAAGTTGGGCCGCGGCGGGGCGGGCGGAGGCGGACCGGGCAGGTGGCGGCCGCTCGCCCGGGCTGGGCTTGTGCCGA